ACTGACCATTTTGTCAAAAAAAACGACGAGAAAATATAAAGAAACTAGCGAGCGTAATGAAAACCGCTTTACATTTACTATGACCTTTGTGTTCTGTTTGTCTGAGTCATGCGGGGGGTCCGATCTCGTGACATCTATTTTTAGTATAACCGCGCTGCGCTATTGTTTTACAAGTCTTCATGTTTCAGTTGCTTTGCACAATTGTTATGCAACAGAATTTTAGGAATGATTTGTTTATTGATACATGGCATGATGCTTTTTGTATATGATTCTGCAAGTCTAGCATGTTTACTTTAGTAACCGAGACTCGGTTTTGACTTGGAGATCTACTTGTGGTTTCCTGTTCTACAAACCTCTTTAAAAACTAACCCATAGTTAATAACTAATATTAACTATGATTAACCTAAACATTCAAACCACCAAGGTTGAACTTGTCTAGATAAGTGATGTAAAAAGGATTTCAGATTGGATTAACTGGTTATATAAGGACGTGTAATTTATCTATTTCTGTGCATTCAATCTTGTACTTAGTTGTGAACAAGGCTAAGGTTGTAGTTCGGGTTGTACTGGGAGGTACAGACCTAAGTAAGGACAGTAGCCGAGTAAGGAATCCCGACTGACAGACACACCGACTAAGGAAAGTCCTTCTGATCGACCTGACTCTGCTCTAGTTTGTGTAGTTAGATCTGACACTCAACTTGTATAAACGTCTACGACGAGGTTCAATAAAACGAGTGGCTTGACAGACCAGAGATCCCTTGCGTTCGGTAGTCTTACACAACACCAAGAAAGAGGCGTTTAAGTATTTCTATCGAATTCATACATTCCTGAAAATCTACATACATTATGTAGAAGGCAGTAAGACCTCTAAGAAAACTCTCTCGTAAAGAAATCAAACTACCACCCAAGCCAGAGATAACTTCCGCTTTTTAATCGATTTGTATTAAAATTTATAGAAAACATATTAAAACAGAGGAGCAGCTATTACTATACAAAATATAGAAACTTTCCTTATATATCTGTCTTCATCTATCAATATCAGTAAACATAATTCACTATCTTCCCCGGCCTTTTGATAACTTTTCGTTACTCAAAAACTATAAAGTATACAGTTATCATACCTTTATCATATCCTTCCACACCAGGATTTTAGTCTACCATTTCACTGAGCCAGAACAATGTCAAGTAAATTTAGTTTTAAATTCATTGGAGTTTAAGACTTCAAAATGAAATTAAAGAAAATTTAAGTCATCAAATGAAACAAGCTTAATTCWTACATTCTTGTGATTAATAATATATTGAATTGTTTTAACGTGTTTTCTCTTTTATTTTTTGGTATTGATTTGATACGTGCGTGCTTTAATTGTGTGTGTGTGTGGTGAATTTATTTATTTATGGTCTTCTAGTAATCATTTAAATCAAAGGTAACCTGACATAGATTGAAATTATGACATTTCAGGTTACCTACGAYATAACCTTTTCTATAAGTTCCCCACGGACACTGCATTATTCTTAGTAATGTACAAATAAAGCTGTTGATAGATTCTTAGGGGAAAAAATTGTATTCTTTTACCATATTATACACGTCAACCGTCTGATTAAAAGAATGGCCAATCTTCCCATATCTTGCATGTATGTACTTGATAGCTTCATCAGTTAAACTATCTCCTAAACAAATGACCCCTGAAAGGCTTTGGTCGTTCCATTGGCGAACAGAATGGGACAAAGATCTATCCCACACGAAAAGCTTACCACCTATATCAAAGGGCTGTACTCCAGCTCGCTTAGCTAGTAATCCAAGATAGGCATCTTCAACCTGAAACTTACGAACTGACTTGGACAATTCTAAAAACTTATCCAGCAAGYTTCCTGAAAACAYATAACACGGTCCAGCGCAGTAGTTCGGAAATACCTTTTCGTTATACTCAGATTCACTAACATAATGC